TGAAAATGGGTCAAGGGGTGAAAATGGGTCACCGGGATGAGGAAATTTAGGGACTTTTGGGGACCGCTGGGACCTATTCACTCACTGGTGGGCCTGGGTCCTGGGCCTCAGTGGGGCCCCGGGCCTGAGTTTAGCATTAGGGAACCGCTGGGACCTATACACTTACTGGTGGGCCTGGGTCCTGGGTCTTAGGGTGGCTGGGGACCACTGGGACCTGTACACTCACTGGTGGGCCTGGGTCCTGGGCCTCAGTGGGGCCCCGGGCCTGAGTTTGGCATTAGGGAACTGGCTGAGGTACGTCATCATGCTGAGCCCTGGGTCTTAGGGTGGCCCCAGGCGTCGGGGACCACTGGGACCTGTACACTCACTGGTGGGCCTGGGTCCTGGGCCTCAATGGGGCCCCGGGCCTGAGTTTAGCATTAGGGAACTGGCTGAGGTAAGTCATCACTCACTGGTGGGCCTGGGTCTGTCTCTTATACACATCTAGATGTGTATAAGAGACAGCCCCCAGACTGGCCCGACTGGGCCCCGGCAGAGGGACCCAGTTCGGCCCGGCAAAAAAGCCTATATTTGGTCATAACTATTTGGACAATTTACCCCACTCATTTGTGAGTGTTTTAGGATTTAGATTATTCAATCTTTTAAATATATATATTTAAATATATATATGTAAGATTTAACCCCCCCTCGCCCCCAGACTGGCCCGACTGGGCCCCAGCGGACGCGCTGCGCAACACGACTGAGGCCCTAACCCTGGCCGACGACTGGCTGGGGGTCCCACAACTCATCACCCCCGAGGAGATGTTGAACCCAAACTGTGATGAACTCAGCATGATGACATACCTCAGCCAGTTCCCTAATGCTAAACTCAGGCCCGGGGCCCCACTGAGGCCCAGGACCCAGGCCCACCAGTGAGTATGTAGGTCCTAGTGGTCCCCAATGCCTGGGGCCTCCCTAAGACCCAGGGCTCAGCATGATGACGTACCTCAGCCAGTTCCCTAATGCTAAACTCAGGCCCGGGGCCCCACTGAGGCCCAGGACCCAGGCCCACCAGTGAGTGTATAGGTCCCAGTGGTCCCGACGCCTGGGGCCTGTCTAAGACCCAGGCCCCAGTGAGTGAACAGGTCCCAGTGATCCCTAGCCACCCTAAGACCCAGGACCCAGGCCCACCAGTAAGTGTATAGGTCCCAGCGGTCCCCTAATGCTAAACTCAGGCCCGGGGCCCCACTGAGGCCCAGGACCCAGGCCCACCAGTGAGTGATGACTTACCTCAGCCAGTTCCCTAATGCTAAACTCAGGCCCGGGGCCCCATTGAGGCCCAGGACCCAGGCCCACCAGTGAGTGTACAGGTCCCAGTGGTCCCCGACGCCTGGGGCCACCCTAAGACCCAGGGCTCAGCATGATGACGTACCTCAGCCAGTTCCCTAATGCCAAACTCAGGCCCGGGGCCCCACTGAGGCCCAGGACCCAGGCCCACCAGTGAGTGTACAGGTCCCAGTGGTCCCCAGCCACCCTAAGACCCAGGACCCAGGCCCACCAGTAAGTGTATAGGTCCCAGCGGTTCCCTAATGCTAAACTCAGGCCCGGGGCCCCACTGAGGCCCAGGACCCAGGCCCACCAGTGAGTGAATAGGTCCCAGCGGTCCCCAAAAGTCCCTAAATTTCCTCATCCCGGTGACCCATTTTCACCCCTTGACCCATTTTCACCCCTTGACCCATTTTCACCCCTTGACCAATTTTCAACCTTGACCCATTTTCTACCCCATGACCCATTTCAACCCCTTGACCCATTTCTACCCCTTGACCCATTTCCACCCCCTGACCCATTTTCACCCCCTGACCCATTTTCACCCCTTGACCCATTGTCATCCCTTGACCCATTTTCATCCCTTGATCCATTTTCACCCTTTGACCCATTTTCATCCCTTGACCGATTTTCATCCCTTGACCCATTTTCATCCCTTGACCCATTTTCACCCCTTGACCCATTTTCAACCTTGACCCATTTCCACCCCTTGACCCATTTTCACCCCTTGACCCATTTTCACCCCTTGACCCATTTCCACCCCTTGACCCATTTTCACCCCTTGACCCATTTTCACCCCTTGACCCATTTTCACCCCCTGACCCACTCCTCCCCCCACAGGGTGAAGGTGTGGGGCCCGGGTGTGGCCCGCTCCGGCGTGGTGGCGGGCCAGGCGACCCACTTCAGCGTGGACACCAGCAAGGCGGGCCAAGGGCGGGTCGAGGCCCACCTCACCACACCAACGGGGGGCACAATCCAGGTGGGCCCAGTGGGCCGTGACAGGCAGGGGCCAGTGGGACGGGCCAGTGGGCCGTGACAGGCAGGGGGGCCAGTGGGCCGTGACAGGCAGGGGGCCAGTGGGCCGTGACAGGCAGGGGGCCAGTGGGCCGTGACAGGCAGGGGGCCAGTGGGCCGTGACAGGCAGGGGGCCAGTGGGCCGTGGGCTGCCGCATCTGTAAATTTTCACTGGGTCAAAATGTCCAATTAAATCGCCTTATCCTGCAAAGATAGCCTGGGGTTCTAGGGTTCGGGTAACCGGGTAAGGGGTTCAGGGCGTATAGAAGGGGTTCAAACGGGTATAAGGGGTTCGAGGCAGATGTAAGGGGTTCGGGTAACAAGGTAAGGGGTTCGGGACGGATATAAGGGTTCGGGTAACCGGGTAAGGGGTTCAGGGCGTATAGAAGGGGTTCAAAAGGGTATAAGGGGTTCGGGACAGATGTAAGGGGTTTTGGACGGATATAAGGGTTCGGGTAACTGGATCAGGGGTTCGGGACGGACTTTGAGTTCAACGTTTCCATTGGCAATAGAAAAGTGGGGACCCTTCCATTAATACAATACAGTACATACAATGGGGCCCTCCCATTACATATGGGGGGCCCCATTGTACATTGGGAGGCCCATTGTACATTGGGGGCCCCATTAATTAATGGTCTCGTGTCCCCCACAGTTGGACCCCGTGGCAGCGGAGGGCGGCAGCGCCCCCCACGTGTACACGGTGCACTACACCCCCGAGGGGGAGGGGGAGCACAGGGTCACAGTCACCCTCAGTGGGAGACAAGCAGGCGACTCCCCCTACAAGGTAAGGGAACTTCTTCATATTCCCCCTCATTTAGGGGATTTATGCTGACCCTAACCCCATGGGAGAGGACCCATCCCCCAATGTATTCACTCAAAAAAATTTAATGTGTCCTGTCCAAATATTTATTTTATTTTAATTAAGTTATTTTAATTTTTAATTGAAAAACATTGTTAATTGATTAATTTAAGCACTGAAAAAAATTATTTGTCCAAATATTGACACACGTTGTTACCCTCACAGCACGGCGTAGGTAGCACTGATACTGGGTCAAGTTGACTCACTTAAGGTCTAGGGTAAAATTTATCTCGGCTATTTACAGACGGATAACTCTGAAACTTGGTGCACATATGTAAAACAGAAATCTAAGACTTTTTTGTTCGTGTGAATTTTTCGAAAAAAATGAAAGAAAACGTGAAAATCTTAGAAAACGGCCAAAAAGGGAGTATCTCCTCCTAGGATTTTCAAGGTACAACATCGAGACACATATCATTCGATGCGTGAAGACATATCTATAAAACGCTGTACGCGTTTTCGGAAATTATCATTTTTGTGATATTTTCGTAAATTTTTCGGAAACTTTTCGATTTTACCCCCCCCCCCACACACACACACCCCTTTTTGCGGAATAAAATCCAAAATATAACGAAATTAGGAAAATGCATAAAGTTATTTGTAGATCTTTTTCTTGCGCATCGAATGGTATATGTCTCGTTGTTGTAGCTTAAAAGCTGTAGGAGGAGATAGGTTTGCCGTGAGAGAGGTTTTCAGTTTTTAAACTTTTCAGTAGAGGCGAAAAACCGCGGCGAGCTATGTAAAGTCATGTAACGTAGCCCAGGGACCATACTTTAAAAACTCGCTAAGTGAACATAAGTACTTACGCTCTATTTTCTTGTCTATGATTAAGTGAACGTAAGTACTTACGCTCTATTTTCTTGTCTATGATTAAGTGAACGTAAGTACTTGCGCTCTATTTTCTTGTCTATGATTGGTGGATTTTGCCTGAAAGGCCGTCAATGATTGGCTGATGAACGTACGATCTCTTAACTTTTTTTGAAAGTATGGGCCCTGATAAGTAAGCGTTATCTAACTTCAAAGTCAGTCAGCATTGCATAGGACGACTGCATCAACACCTTCCCGCATGATAGCTGAGTGGTAACTGAGCTGCAGGTCCAGTTGTAGCACATTTTATAGGGCTTGGCCGTAATTATCCCCATAGACTTTTGTGAAGGGACCCCTCCACCCTCTCCCCTTTCGGGATCTGTCGTGAACGCATAAATCAACGTACAGAGATGGTTCTAGTACCGTTCGATGCGGCAGAAAGTACCTAAGCTTTTAGATGAGTTTTTTCAGATATTAAAATATATAATTATCTATATACCAACTATATAGCCCTTATAATCAAATATATGTAATAATTATATTATATATCTTATTGTTACATGATATATATAAATATATCTTGAAATTACATAAATAACAATGATATTATATAATTCTATATGACCCTTATAATCATATAATATATAAGATATATATATCTTATTATTTATAAAATATAATTAATATATCACGTAATTAAATAAAGGTTATAATAAATAATTATAATAATATATACCCTCTATATCACCCTCATAATCATATATATAATAATCATATTATATCATATAATAATATATATGTACTGTTTAACCCCCAGGTGGGGGTGGGGGCAGCAGTGGGGGATGCGTCCCTAGTGCGGGCCGCGGGCCCGGGGCTGAGCCCCGACGGGGACGTGGGGGTCAACAAACCCACATACTTCGACGTCTTCCCCAACGGTGGGGGGGGACTGGGGGTGGGACTGGGGGACGTCCCCCATACAGGGGACATTTTGTTGTGTTTCATTGATAATAAATATTGTATTATTAATAATAAATGTTGAATAAATGATAAATGTTGTATTATTGATAATAAATATTATATTATTGTATAAATAATGTTAAATAAATAATACATGTTGTACTATTGATAATAATATAATATAGCAATATTGTCTATATTATTTTTATATAATGTATTATTATTTTTCTTCTGTTTCATTGATAAATATAGATTTAAATGTCAATGTTATATTATAATTATTATATTATATTGTATACAGTATTGTATGAACTATAAATGTAATAATATTCTATTTATATGCAATATTATATATTATTATTATTAATATATAATAAATTTTATTATATCCCTGCCCTAACCCCCAACCCCTACACAACCCCTGTCCTAACCCCCAACCCCACAACCCCAGGGTCGGGGCGTGGGGAGGTGCAGGTCATAGTCCTGGACAGCCACGGCAGCAAGTCCTCCTGCGTCCCCAGCATCAGACCCCGACAACCCCACGACCCTGTGGACCCCACCTACCAGGGGTCCGCCCGTCTCAACGGGCACAACCCGTCTCTGAACGGGTCGAAAAATGAGGCCAAAGGGTCCAAGGACGGGTCCAAAGGGTCCGTGGACGGGTCCAAAGGGGAGGCCAAGGGGTCCAAAGGGTCCGTGGAAGGGTCCAAAGGGTCCTCTAACGGGCGCCCGTTAGACGAAGGGGACGTACAACGGGTCGAGTACACTCCCACGACCCTGGGGTTGCATTCCGTTAACGTGTTCTTTGCCGGCAACCCCATCCCGGGGTCCCCGTTTGGGGTCAAGGTTTCTCCAGGTGAGAAGGGTTAAGTTCAAATAAGGGTTGGCTCTGGGGTCCCAATAAGGGTTTACTGGGGTCCCAATAAGGGTTTACTGGGGTCCAAATAAGGGCTTACTGGGGTCCCAATAGGGTTTACTGGGGTTCAAATAAGGGTTTACTGGGGTCCCAATAGGGTTTACTGGGGTCCCAATAGGGTTTACTGGGGTCCCAATAGGGTTTACTGGGGTCCCAATAGGGTTTACTGGGGTCCCAATGGGGTTTACTGGGGTCCCAATAGGGTTTACTGGGATACCAATAAGGGTTTACTGGGGTCCCAATAAGGGTTTACTGGGGTCCCAATAAGGGTTTACTGGGGTCCCAATAAGGGTTTACTGGGGTCCCTATAAGGGTTTACTGGGGTTCTAATAATGGTTTACTGGGGTCCCAATAAGGGTTTACTGGCGTCCCAATAAGGGTTTACTGGGGTCTAAATAATGCTTTATTGGGTTAAATAAGGGTTTACTGGGTTAAATAAGGGTTTACTGGGGTTCAATAGGGGTTATTTATAACCCTAACTTCCTCCCCACAGCCAGCAACCCCCGACGGGTCCGGGCGACGGGTCGGGGTCTGCAGGCGACGGGCGTCCGCGTGGGCGACGTCGCGGACTTCAAAGTCTCGACGAAGGGCGCCGGCGAGGGACGTCTCGACGTGCGCGTCGTGGGGCCCGGTACGTTAATACGGACGAGGGACGTCTCGTGGGGCCCTGTACGTTAATACGGACGAGGGACGTCTCGTGGGGCCCGGTACGTTAATACGGACGAGGGACGTCTCGTGGGGCCCGGTACGTTAATACGGACGAGGGACGTCTCGTGGGGCCCGGTACGTTAATACGGACGAGGGACGTCTCGTGGGGCCCGGTACGTTAATACGGACGAGGGACGTCTCGTGGGGCCCGGTACGTTAATACGGACGAGGGAC